ACCCCTCCGGGAGCCAGAGGCCCGGGGCTTTGGAGGCGTTTAGGAACAGAGCCTCAGCCCGGCACTCTTGTTCCCAGATGCCACTGGTGAGACCGGCTGGTGGCTCTCAGGCTGCTGGAGGGGACCAGTGCGGCCAGACTCTGGAGGCTGGATGACGGATGCTGTGCAGGGACGCTAGCTTCGCACATCTCACCTCGGGACCTTGTTACCCGTTCATGATGAGAGTGTTTAAAAAGCTTTCTAGAGATTTGACGCCACAGGGACATCCGAGCACGTGACCAGTGCATGGCCAGGCCTGGGCACCAAGGGGTTACCTCCAGGTCTCTGGCAGATTGGAAACAAAATACCCAGCCCTTTGCCACACTTACTGTGGGGAGCTGTAACTGGCAGCCTCCCCTCTGAACCTGCTCGAGGTCCCCACTGAGAGCACCCAGAAATGGGGGGACACATGGCACGAGGGAGGGGGTAGGGCCAGCTTTCCGTCGATCAGGCTGGTGCTGCCCAGCACCCGCCCCCACGTGGTCTTTAGATGCGCACAGGGACTTGATTCAGAGCCATGGGCTACAGTGGGAATCCTGGGCAGGACCCTGTGTCCCCAGGTATCTTCGGGAGGCTGTGCAGCCTAGTGGTTCTCTGTGTGGGCCCTGGAGCCAGGGGGCTTGGGTTCAACTTCTTGCCTCTATATCCTTGGCAAGTTACTTTGGTTCTCTGTGCCTCAGCTTACTGATCTGTGAAATGGGCCTCGAGGCAGGGGCACAGCTGGCAGATAGCATCAACTTGGTACATGAGGCCCTGTGTCATTTTGTCCTTCCCCAGTGGGGGGGGTCTTCCCTCTCGATTCAGGTCTCCCCACAAAGGCCACCTCCTCAGAGTGGTCTTCCATGACCCCCCTTTCTCCACGGGTCACCTCATCCCCTCCCATCACGTGTCACTCCTGGGTAGCGTATTTTTATTTGTTTCTTTATATGGCCTGTGGCTCTCCCAGTAGAACATGAGCTTCGGGAGAAAAGACTCCATCAGTCCTGCCTGTGGCCGCATCCTGGTGCTGATAGGTTCTGGGACAAAGGAAGTACCAAGAAATATTTGTGAACAAAAGACCAGATCTTTTCACGCGCCCATCCCAGCTTCCCACCCGGCACAGGTCGATCTGGGTCCCGTCACACCTGGGCCAAGCACAGGGGAGCCCCCGGGAGATGCCGGACGCAGCTTCCATGGGTTACACGGCCCCAGCAAACATGCAAGGAGCCGTCCTCAGGCTGGGTGCCAGGGCTCCTGGGCCTCCCGGGCGCCATCCCCCGTCAAACCAGTTGTGAGTGATCTATACACGTTGCCAAAACAGCGCCTGCTTCCTTCAGCTCCTTACCGTGGAACGCTGTGTTTCAGACTCTCCGGAAAGCCGGCACCCAGAGAGGTGCTTTCCACATCCCCAGATCCCCTCTCCCTTGAGAGGAAGAGTCGCATCGCCCCATGTCTGAGCGAGGAGAGGTTGGCAGATATCAGTCCCCGCCCCCCACCAGTTTTGCACAGGCAGTCCCAGAAGCCTCTGGGGCCTGTATGGGTTGACACCTCCCAGAGTTTCCAAAACGTTTGGCTGGAAATAGGAAAAGTGGAACCACGTTGTGTGTGATACAGAGAAAAGCTGAGACGCCGGGCGAGCAAGCTCCCCGGGACTTTGCATTTTCAGCAAAGAGCCTCCTTCAGCCCACAGGCCCCATCAGCAGCCAGCCTGGCCAGCGATGGCTCCACGGGCCTCCCACTTCCTGGACCCTCAGGCTCTTCTTCTGCTAAATGGGGGTGATGAGAGTTCTCACCTCACCAGTTAATACAAGAGCGGCACAAAATGCCGTATGTGTCACGTGATGTACCTGCCATAAACCTAAGTCCCCTTCCCCCCGCACCCTGGATATTTGGGTGGTGGAGGACATCACTGATAGGTTATTTTCTCTATTTAAGAAGGTCTATCTCTTTGACTTCATTTCTGACCACCCACCCCCTCATTCACTGACTTTATGGATTCTTCAGTAAGACAAGCTCATTCCTACCTCAGGGCCTTTGCACTTGCTGTCCTCTCTGCCTGGAGCTCTTCGATATTTTCATGGCCACCTCCTGATCATTGTTCAGGTTTTATCTCAATGTCACCTCCCTAGAGAGGCCTTCCCTGCCCCTTCACCTCAAGATTCCCCGACCCCTCCCCCCAGCCCAGCTTCCTGCTCTGTTTTCACGACTTCCTCATGGGAAGTAGCCACAGCAACGATCTGCTTCTCCCACTAGAAGGTGGATTCTCTCCTTCCAAGAGGACAGAATCCACCTTGAATAGAATCTTTTTTTAAAGCTTCAAGCAAAGCACCAGGCTGTGCTCTCCACAGCCCACCCCAGGAGCCCTGCAGTTCTTGGGGGTCATGATGGGGCAGGTGGGGTGCCCTGGTGGAGGGGGTCGCTGCGAACCATGGGCTGGATAGGACCGCCCACTGCGGGTCAGGATCCCCACCCGGGGAGGGTTTCTAACCACCTTAGCGGAGGCAGGTTTCAGAAGGGACCCTTGGTGGCCATGGTGGAGGCCGTCCACATGCTCTACCCGGTCTGCTGCCCGGGGGCCTGTGGGACCCCTGGGGGAGACAGAAAACCGGGAGTCAGGAAACAGGAACTCTGAGCACATCTCAGCCTCTCACATGCTGTGTGACTTTGAGCAAGTCACTTCCCCATTCTGAGTCTCAGTTTCCTCAACAGTAAAATGGACAGAGTAAGACTGATGCCAGCTTTGCCTCCACTCTTGCCTCTTCCCAGCTGTGCTGTCCTGGGGGAGTCACTCCACACACCTGGGCGCATTCCCTAGGACCTCAAATGGGACGAGACTTGTATCCACCTCATAGGATTAAACTAATGATACTAATACTGACAGAAGCTTCCTTGCACTTAGTAAGTGCTCAGTAAATATCCGGCTCATGATCAGAGGCTGGGAATCTGCTCAGACCACTCCCAGGAAGAGGAGGAAGGACCTCCACCATGAACACGGCAGGGGATGCAGAAAGATTTTTTGTAAATGGTGGCGAGGCTGGAAAAAACAAAAGCGTGAGCCGGGAGGAGGAGTAGAGGGTGTGTTTCCACCTGGGCTGGTTGGTGGGTGGGAGCTGGTGCCCGCTCTGGACACAGCTGACATTTTTAGCACCAGCCTGGGGTCTGGACCTCTTGGCTCCCAGCTGCTCATTAAGTGAAGCCATCTGATTCCTCGACGCGGGACAAGTAACCAGCAAAGAAACCAGGATGGCTGGGAGACCCACCCCTGACACATTCCTCCCTTCTCAGAGCTTTGAGGGGGTCAGAGAGTTTGGGGACCAGGAAGAAAGCGTAGTCTGGGAAATATTAACTGCACACCCACAGCTGACCAGACGGGCAGAACCCACAGTGACTTCCAGGCGAGTCCGGGGCTGGAGAGTGGCTCAGCCAGAAAGCCGCCTTCTAAAGGCTCGACCACAAGCAAACGTGAGCCATGTTACGAGTGCGGCAAAGTCAAGGCTGGACAAGCCCAGTTCTTTCCTGAGTCCTGTCGGCAGGAAAACCATCCAGAAAGTGTGCACTCAGAGCCCTTTCTCGTGGAACTTCAGAAGGCAAAGGGGTAGAGTGGGGATGAAAAGACCCAGATTTTGGTCTCAGCTGTCTCCTAGCAGCTGTGTCACTGTGGGCAAGTCGCTCCCACTCTCTGTATCCATGTAAAAAGGGTAAAACTAAGGACTAAGAGGCTCCTAGGGGCTGCGCCGTTGTGGGATTATACGATTCAAAGGCTCCTTGGCATCTGAGTTTTTTGCTCTCTCTCTGAAAACCTAAAGGGCAGTGGGGGGGGGGAAGGGGTGGGGGGTGTTGTTTGCACAGAGGAAATCAAAATCAAGTTCTAATCCTTTAGGTTTTCAAAAGCCATGCCCAAATCCTGAGATTGCCAGGAATCTGTCCGTTGTAAGAGACAGAAAGCCCAGCTCAAACCAGCTTGAGCAAAAAGGCATGTTTATTTGTTCCCGGAATGTAAAGATGAGTTGGTTTCAGGAATGGTGGTATCCAGGGGCTCAAATAATGTCACCACCTTGTTTTTCCTCTCACCCCAGTTCTGTAATTCAGAACGACATTTACCTAGTGGTAGCTAATCCACCCCTCCAGGCTATAGCACCTATGTCTTCAGCAGCCCTGATGGAAAGAGATTTCCTTTCCTGTTTGTTCCAAGGAAACTCCCAGGATTGCTTTGGATTTGCCAGCCTTGTTCGCATGTCCATCCCTGAACCAGTCCCTGAGGTCTGGGTTTAAATCCAGCCCCACCATTTACTATATGTGACCTAGGATGAGGAACTTAGCTGCAGTCGGTTTCCCATGGCTGTGATGACAAATTACCACACACTTAGTAGCTGGAAGCAACACAAAATTATTATCCCAGAGTTCTGGACGTCAGAAGTCCAAAATGGGCATCACTGGGCTAAAGTCAAGGTGTTGGCAGGGCTGATTCCTTCTGGGGGCTCTAGGGGAGAAGCCCTTTCTTTGCCGTTGCTGCCTTCCAGAGCCGGCCCCCCGCCTTCACTGTGGCCCCCTCCCCCACCTTCAAAGCCAACAATGTCCACCGAGTCTTCCTCACATCACATGACTCTGACGCTGCCCACCTGCCTCCCTCTTTGACTTGTGAATACCCTGTGATTCCGCTGGGCCACCTGATAACCCAGGATCGTCTTTCCATCTCAAGGTCAGCTGATTAGCAACTTTAATTCCACCTAATCTTCCTTTGCCACGAAACGTAACATGTTCACAGGCTATGGGGATTCGGCTGTGGACAGCTGGGAGGCCATTATTCTGCCCACCACACTCACCTCACTGCCATTGTCTGTAAAGTTGGATGGTAGCATTAGTCCCTCAAAGGATCATGCTGAGGTGGAAAGGAGAGCCCTCAGCATAGAGCCTGGCACACAGTAGGTGCTCAACAAGTGAACAGGTCACCCACCAGCCTCAGAATCTGTGGACTTACTCACGAGCATTTCTGAGGCGCTTCATCGTTATGTTGGAAGAAAGGCAGCACATGGTTTGGGTGACAAGCAATGTAGAATAGAATAAGGACTCGAGGGTGCAATGCCCCACATCCCGGGGCTACCTCTGTGACTGCCATTTGGACAAGGCGGAGAGGGTATGTTTTTACCAGACACCACCCCATGGGAGGGCCCAAGAGAGAAGGAAAAACGCCAGAGCCACCCAGGAGGATGGTGGCAGTTCTGTAACAAGGACACTGGGGGTTACTGACACCTCACCCCACTCGCCATCCCTCTGTCCACTCATCCCAGATTAGAAGCGCAGCCCTCGGTGGCTGGAGCACACGGGGCACTGGGCACACGTAGCTGCTCGATCGACAGTCTGCATCTGAGTAACAACGGGATGCAGAGAGGTTTAGTGAGGTGGGGTCCCAGCTGCTCTGCCAGCCTCCACTGTCCTGGTGGCTATATGGGGCTCCGCCGTGGCCTGGCAGCACCTGGCCCGGGACACGGTCAATGCTAAGGAAACATTTGGTGAATGAAGATGCAGCAGGGAGGGAACTGAAGCTGGAGTCCGAGCATTGGTTCTGCCGCTGCCCGGCTCTGAGCCTCAGTTTCCCCATCTGCAGGTGAGAGAACCCCTTGCTGCTGACCACACAGTGTGCCCTCTTGAAATGGCCGCTGCAGGAGGCACCAAGAGTGGCAAGGACTGCCCTCATCCTCAGCTGCCTCCCAGCCTCGGCCTCTGTGGATCTCCAGTCTGGGTCCCATGGGGACTATTGGGGTTGAAGAGACTAATTCTGCCAATTCATGAGCCCACTTTATAAACGAGGACTTTGAGGCACAGAGAGGGGAAGGAACTGGCTGAAGATCACACAGCTTAGAGGGCGGGTCAGGTGCCCCAGCCCCAGCTTCAGCATCCCAGCGGAGTGGCCAGCAGGAGCCTGCTCTGCTTACCTTTCCAGGTAGCAAATAAGAGAGAAATATGGCCAAACAATGGGAAACGCCAACCCGACCCCATCCCTTACTCTCTTTCCCTTCCCTGCCCAATGTTTCTGAGAGCTTAATTACAGGTTTAATGATCCCTCTTACACAGTCACTGTCGTTCTAACAGTGGTGCGAGCCTCTGGTAAAGCCCTCATCCCAATCAACCTTGTTTTTATTGATTTGTAAAAGCAGCTCAATTGTCTGGGAAAAGACAGCCCACCAGCTGACATCTCTCAGTCCCGCTGCATCACGGTGACACGCAGCGGCTGAGGCCACCCGCGGGCAGTTGGGGCCTCTGTGATGTATGTCCACAAATGCACAGTAAATGACACCCCGTAATCTGGGGGGACAGGCAGGAACCATGCTGCATTGGCTGGAGCGTTGGAAATAATTCTGCATCTCAACATTTCTCCATGTCTAGACAAGAAGTACTGCCTGCCTGCCTAAAATATTAAAATTTCATATGCTACTCCCAGAGAGGCCCTTTGGTTGTAAACATACAGAGACAATTTGAGTTTTCTTTCTTTTCCGTCAGGTTTCCTCTTTATAGCCAGTTGTGTACGTTGCAGAGCTGGAGAGGCACCGTGAATTTCAGGACCTGGGTACTCCCCACCTTCTCGTTCGTGTCCTGGTTTCATGTCTGGTACAAGTCCTACATCTGTCACTCGGCAGTTGTTTGCGCCCTCAGTTTCCTCATCTGAGAAATGGTGGTGATAATTCTGATCTCACTGGGTAATTGTTGGGCTGGATGAAACATTAAACAAGATAACCTCTGTGCCGGGTTGAAATGTCCTCCTGAAATCCACATCCACCTGGAACCTCAGGATGTGATCTTGTTTGGAACTAGAGTCCCTTCAGGTGTATCGAGTTAAATGAGGCATCCTGGAGCAGGGCTGGACCTCGTCCAATATGACAGCTGTCCTCAGAAGGAGAGGCGAGAGAAACAGAGACAGCAGACACTGAGAGAGTTAACTAGTCAGTTCAGGCTGCCATAGCAAAAGACCACAGATGGGGTGGACAGGGGGTGCTTAAACAACAGACATATATTTCTCACAGTTCTGGAGGTCACAAGTCCAAGACCAGGGTGCCAGCGTGCAAGTTCTGTGGTGTCTTTTCTTATAACGGCACTAATCCCGTCATGGGGCCCCACCCTCATGACCTCATCTAACCCTAATTATCTCCCAAAGACTCCACCTCCTAATAACATCACATTGGGGGTTAAGACTTCAATAGACGATTGGGGTGGGGGACACATTTAATCCATAACAAACAGAGAGGAGAAATACACAGAGAGAATCCATGTGATGACAGAGGCAGAGATTGGAGTGATGTGCCTACAAGCCCGAAATGACAAGATATGTCAGCAAACACCAGGACCCAGGAAGAGGCATGGAAGGATTCTCTCCTCAGAGAAAGCCTGGTCCTGCCAACACCTTGATTTCAGACTTCTATCTTCAGAACTATGGAAGAATAAGAGTCTGTTGTTACATCACTCTATTTGTGGTTACGTTGTTACAACTGCCCCAGGAAACAAATACAATAATGATTTGTGGAATACTTGGCACACGCAGGCACCCATCCTCACAACCATGCTTTGAAATATAGAGATGACTATTAGCCCATTCTGCAGATGGAGAAACCAAGCTCCCAGGCACTCAAGTGACTTGCCCAACCTCATACTCAGGGAGTTCCTCTACCCCTCCTGCTTGGCCTCACCCACAGTTCAGGAGAGAATCCTGGGCAGGAATGGGAAGATACTCCCTGCCCTCAATCCCTCCTGCCCTGCCACAATTGCGGTGCCTGTGTCTGCGTTCCCCAGGCCAGAGCTCATCTTACTCCTGCAATGCAATTCAGTACTTCTGGGAAACGATGTTTCACAGAAGCCTAACACCTAAGTCCAAGGGGCATCCTGCTGGATCCCTCAACAAATATTAATGGAGCACCGACTTTGTGCCAGGCTCTGTTCTAAACCCCGCAAGCCGTCAGTGAACCTGACACACCAGGGCCTGCCCTCCGGAGCTCCGTGCTGCAATGGGGCACCCTGAGGAGTCTGGACTGGGGGCAGAGGAGGGGCTTCCTGTCGGTGGTGACCGCCACACTGAGAACTGGGGAGGTTGGGCAGCTGAAGCAGGGCTGGGAGGTGGCAGTGATGGAGACCTCTTGTCCGAGGAAGCAGCAGCACGTGCAATGGCCTGTGGGTGGGAGCTGGTGGGTCCACATGAGGAGCTGAGAGGTCCAGTGCACCCGTAGCCTGGGCGTGAAGAGATCAGGAGGTAGGAGAAAAGAGCAGAGAGGCAGGACCCCAGCAGATGGGGCTGGGTGCCGGGGCTGTCCTGAAGGCTGTGACGAGCCGCAGAAGGGCAGTTTGGAAAGCTGGCTCCCCCAGGGGGACACTCTTCCTTCCAGGCTCCATCCTTCTCCATAGGCAGGGCTGGGGGCTCCCTGGGTCCTCCCTCCGCAGGTGGGGCCCAGGACCTCCTCAGAGCCTCCCAGCCCTGAAGGGGGAAGCCTGGGGTTTGCACCTGCAGGGGCGTCTAAGGTCACAGTGAGTGGTGGCACCAGACAGGAGGGGACAGACAAGGGCAGACACCTGAGCAGGTATCCACAGAAGGCCCAAGCCATGCGGCCACCAGTCCACCTGCAGAGGAGCCAGCTGGTCAGGGCAGCCCCGCAAGCCGGGAACGGGAGCCGGGTGGGCCCCATAATCCATTATGACCAGTGTCCTTGTAAGAAGGCAGCCATGTGAAGACACGGACACACAGGTAGAGGGGCACGGGATGACGGAAGCAGAGACTGGACCGGCGTAGCTACAAGTCAAGGAACACCAAGGATGGCTGGCAGCCACCAGAAGCCAGGAAGAGGCAAGGAAGGAAGGAGACCCTACCGTTGCGGGAGGGAGCACGGCCCTGCCCACACGCCTTGGTTTGGGACTTCTGGCCTTCAGAACCCTGAGAGAATACATTTCTGTTGTTTGAAGCCAAGTTTGTGGCACTTTGTCACAGCAGCCCGGGGGAAACTGGTACACATTTTACAGATAACGACTCTGGGCCTCCGTAGAGGATGTGAACAATGTCAGGTCACACGCTGGGACCAGTAGGACCCAGCCTTCCGACTTGGGTCCACTCCCACCCCTGCTAAGGCCATGTCTGTTCAATTAAATGTTTGTGGAGCTCAAACAAGACCTGTGTCCTCAGGAGGGGTTCCCAGACTGCCCCGGCCCACGGTGGCCTCACCTCTCATGAGCTTAAAGCCCACCTGGGGGCAGCACCCCATGGATGAACTCACCCTGCTGCGTGGCCCTGCTTGTGCCCCACTGCTCCCCTCCACACACACACACACACACACACACATCCCAACAAGCATATGCACACATCCGTGCAAGGCACACACACACGGCCAAGAAGAGTGCAGGGAGCTCAGTGATGATGTGGGTCGATGTCCTTTGAATTCCCACTTCCCAGCTCTGCTGCTGCTGTATTGCAGTACACGTCAGCCAACTCCCAGCAGACACGGTAGAGCACCGGCAGCCTCCTGCAAACGCACGAGGGCAAGACAGAGTCCGGTTCTGAGACACCAGGATGGAAAAGATCCGGAACATCATCAGAATGGAGACGCTAAGGCCCAGGAAGGGGGAGGGTTCGCTTGGCCAGCAGGTCTGAGCCTGGGCAGAGAGGGAGACCCAGCCCCTGTGACCCCCTTGGCAGGCTGCCTGATCTCAAGGACATGGCAAGTTACCAAGTGCCCGGCTTGGGAGTGAGGGAGCCACAGGCAGACCCTCGCTCTGCTCCCTACCGGCTGGGCCATCGGCCAACAGGTGGGTGCTGGGCACCTCTCCGGGGGCCAGGCTCGGGGGCTGCCTGATGAGCAGCAAGGAGCTGGCTACTGTTCCCAGGGATGCACAGTCTAGCAGAGCAGAATGACACTAAACAAACGCAGGGTTGCATCTCACACACACAGCAGACTTAGGGGGGAGTTGAGTATAAGCGTTCAGCTTCCCCAGGAATAAGGGTGGAGGGAAGTGCCCATCAGGAGGGGCCCACA